CCCCAAAACCCCAAAACCCCAAAACCCCATGAGTTTTATTTCAAGAAGTTGTGCTACTATAAAATTTTTCTTTTTTCTAAATTAAATAAAAAGTTAAAAAATTCCAAAATATAAAACTTAATGGGTAATTACTGTGATAAAAACGGCAGTGAAGTCGGCTATGAATTAGACAAGGAAATATCTCTTGCTAAGCGGAATGTTTCCTCGCCGACTTATAAGCACAATATGCTCGAATCAACAGCTTAAAATAATTATCTTAAAGACAAACTGCAGCAAATTTCCTTATTTTCTCAATAGCCAGCAATCTTCAGCAATAATGTCCCAAGCTACAAATCCAAGTAAGCTACACCTAGTAGTACTTATGGTCTTAAAATACCCTTTCCGAGTTCCACTACTCAAAATTCGAGATCTGCCTCACAACCTAGCACTGCTAGCAATAGCAATTAATCCACTAAAAAGCAATTGAATTTTAAGATAATTAATCAATTAGAAAGTAAGAATAAATAAAGTGGAGCTGGGGCAAGAATTCAAGGTGCCAAGAAGAGTTAACTCGATAAATTCATATATCCAGCACCAGGTGCTTACGGTCAAAGCTATTACCGAGAGAATTTGATAACAGTTTATAGTCCAATGAACTTTGAAATATTCTAAGTAAGAGTGCACAACGTTATGTCACTTTAAGAATTCAAGTCTAGAATAGCATAGAGATTTGAGACATACGCAGATAACATAATAATTGGAGTTGGAGACAATGAATACAGTGGGAACAGCGGTAAGATTGATGAAGGAAAACTTAACATTCAGAATGATCTTGGTATAAATGAAAAGACTGTTGTAAAGGTTACTTTTAAAAATAAACCAATATTTCCAAAGAAAGAAAAGAATTCTCGGTCTAAGTCTAAGTCAGGTTATTCTTCTAGCGTTGTAGTTACGACGTGTATTAATAATATTAACGATATTGGAAACTAAGAATGATCAAGAGGGGTAACTTAATATCAGCAGGAAGAAACCGAGGTAGTATAGAATAGTAATGGACTCATGAATTTGTATATGAGATATCAAGAACAAATGAATGGTAGAACATCTGTTCTGGAAGAATACAAACTTAATGAATCAAATATAATAGATGATAATAACATTTAGGATACTTAAACTCTGAATGATCATGATACCAGTAAAGATTCCAAAGCAAAGATTAATGTTTCTAACAGACTCTTATTCGAATAAAAATCTTCAAAATATGCTAATAATGTGAAATTAATGTAAAGACTTAAGGAAAAAGTGTCAAAGAATTTATTTTTAGCTGATGACATAATATCACAAGAGACAAGCCCTATTCGGCAGATTATAACAAAAACTAATGACTCTAACAATAACTATGCGCTCAACTACCCAGGGTCATTTCTCAGTAGAATTTCTAATGAACCTGCCTAGGAGCATGTCACAACAGTCATAGTAAGCAATAAAACTTTTGATAGTGGTTCAACACCATAAGAGAATCCAAAAATATAAGTTAAAACTTGTGGAATTAGTTAATAAAGTAGCATGAGTGTCTATAAAAAGAGTTTCATGCAAGAATTAGTTTTATCTTAAGCTGGATCAACCAAAAATGAATTTAGAAACTAGAAGACTATTCATGGTGAATTCATGACTAGCAAAAATAATTAATAGCTATTCGAAAAGAGTAGTAAAATGATGAAGTCTGGAATATAGAAGAAATCAGAGTTAAAGGAATCTGTTAAGAAGAAAATGATGGGAAATTTGATTGAAGCTGAGAGTAGGCTTAGCAGAATGCTAAAGCAATGAATTATTTTCCTTTTCTCCCCTTCTAATAGATGTAAAATATGAATAATTGTAATTATTATCTAAATTCAATCTGCTTACTAATGATTTTACTTAGATGGGGTTTTGGGGTTTTGGGGTTTTGGGGTTTTTGGG